TTGTTCGTCACTCGTCAATTTAATATCTCGCATACGTTACGGATATTCGATTCGAACTTTCGCGCACTCCATATACTACACCCTCACTCTTGTGCGCCCCCTCCGGTGCACACAACATCGGCGGCAGTTACCGGCGCACCTCTCCTCCACCTCAAGAAAGTTTCCTCGCTGTTCTGCATAAACATTACGAGCAAAAGTGAAAGTACCCGGCGTCACCGTGGCAAAGTTTCTCCGCGAGGTGGGACAGCACTTGCACCCTCGATATCGTTAGAAATATCCCATTCGCGCAGCGGAGCGCCGTTGTCCCATTTACCATCCAACCATTAAGTCAACCCATTACCATATACAACGTTGTATAACCCGTCGGCGTGAACTTCCATTATCATACGCTCTTTCCAATTGATCGCCAATTGCTATTAATTAGTCGGAAGTCAAGTAGCGCATTATAGTCGGAGTTGCAATACGCTCCAGAAAAAATTATATACTTTTTTATTTTTTATTATAATTACGATAATTATTTTTCGAAATGTGCAATAAACACATATTCCTATTGCATATATATCATTTTCTTATATTCCAAATAATTCAAATATAATTTGGAATTTAAAAAATACAAATACATATATTGTACATAAAAATATTTAGTATTTAATACTTTCCTCGTAGAAAAATCTAAATATGCACGACGTTAAATGGAACGCAGTGAATGCAACAAGAAAAATTTTCAAAGTGCGACCGGCAAGAGTTGCATCCGTTTTCAAGTCCGCCTGGAAATTACCCGTTGGCCTTAGTGCTCCTCAGGGAAGATCCAGCACGTTTTTCACGGGGCTCATCTTCCTAATCTTCCTCGAGAGCCGTCGATACGCCGGGACCGTCCGGCGGAAGTTGCAATCCAGCATTGGCGAACTAAGCACGGGATGTTCAGGTTACGCGATAGGAAGGGAAGAGAGGAAGGAGGAACGGGGAGCGTTTGCAACGGAGCCGACTGCAGTTTTTCCACGGTGAGAAATAGGGTCTTGGGGTGTGTAAACCCGGTTACTTATGGAGGCCATTCCGGTCTGCGGGCTCGCCGGCCTCCGGCTGAGGGGTTTTAAGGACTTAGCTCGACATTAGCGTCCCTGGGGGAGGTGGGCGGCGGGCGGCAGGCGACGGTGGATATGGACGTCGACGATGTGGATGTGGAAGCGCCAGTTGTCGGAGAAGGAAGGAAGGAAGCCGAAGTTAGACCGACGGAAAAGAGAGAGAGAGAGAGACAGAGCCGGAGAGCTGAAGAGAGTTGCAGAGAACGAGAGAGAGATAGAGAGCGAGAGGGACTCGTTCTCTCCGAGGGAGTAAGCTCTGGATAGGGTTGCGAGGGCCGAGAGTAAGGGTGAATGGTTGGCAGTCGGGGGATCCCCGGGGGGACGGGGTGGTAGAGAATCGCGGAAGCGCAGGGTGAGGTGGCAGCAGCGGTGGCACGAGGAGGGGGATGGATGTGCGGCGATTTGGTTTCCAATCATGGGACGACGGGACGCGCCTCTATCGAGCGAGCAGAGGCCCGGCCATCCTACCCCATCCTCTCCTTCGCTTGGAACCATGTCGGTGCTGGTGTGGTGCTGGTGCAAACCAACCCAACCCAACCCACCGGACTCACTCTCCTTCGCCTGCACCTCCGCGTCTCAACCGACCGTTCCTCCTCCTGCTCCTTCGCTTTCCACTTCCTCCTTCGTCTCCTTCTCTTCCTCCACCGCCTACTGCTCGTCCTCGTCCTCTTCCTTCTCCACCTCCTTTTACTACTGCTACTGCTACTACTACCGCTGCTGCTGCTGCTGCTGCCGTTACTCCTTTGCCACCCTTGGCCTGCCACCCACTGCTACCTACCGCCGTCCTTTACTTCCATCTAATGCTTCACGTTCTCTTGCCTTCGTCCTTCGGCCTCCCAAACTACACCTCCTTTCCCTCCTCCTCCTCCCGCACACTCAGCATCCTCTGAAGTAACGCATACACACGCGTACATCTCGTCTTTTCGTCCTCCTCATCGATGTCGTCCGCACTTCCCACAGCAGTCCCCAACCCAAGCCAATCGCGCGAAATCTTAATGCTTTCTTCAGCTGTCGAATGTGAAAGCAGAATATATATTCAATGCTTCGAACGTACGATCGCAAAACATTCCAATACCGGTGAAATTTTCGTTTCTGGTTTACGGATTCTATACAGACCTATTTTTTATTTTGGTGCAATTTTATGAAATTTTATAGCGAATATTAATACTCTGTGTAGAAAAAATTGAAACAAAACAACTTTATAATAACTATATAAAGAATTAAATATAAAATGTTTTTGATTTTTATATATAAGATATTTTTCAATGCTCTAAAAATAAATTTGTTCAATTTTTATTTTGTAACTTTTATAATTTTTTCGCGCGCGAAGAAAATTGATGCTGCTTAATAAACAACGATAATATATCGAGGCAATGTCTATCAAACTTCAATTTTAATTACCTATTATGCCGAAATAGATCGATTTCGACAAAAGTAAAACTGGAACTAGCTAATGTTTGAATAAATTTCTGGCTAAAAAATACGTATAATTTCAAATGGATATCTCTCTGCGGTATCGTTTATTTTACGTACGGCGTTTTAGAAGTATACATCATCAAAATAACGCGTAAATCCATAGCGGCTAAATGAATGCGATGCTTCCAGCGACAGTTGTGATTAGTACAACAGCAAGTGGCACCTTCCAAACTGGTTAGAAGCAAGTTACCGTGAGGCAAACAGTTCCCTGTAAGCATATCGTTTCTAATACCGTAACTGTATTGCCGCGGGTGACAACGCGATTAGAACGGAAACATTAAGGGGTTAAAACGCTCACCGTGACTTAAAGTGCTCAGCTATCTGTATACTTGAAATTGTCGCAATTAAATGCCTATTTATCTATAATAAAAATTATCATAATTAGAGTATAACATTTAATAGCTTAATATCACTGAAAATAATAACAATGATAATTAAATATAAGCTTTTGTTAATCTCCTTCATTTTCTATCGTATCTGTCTACTGATAAATTTCATTAGTAATTGAAAAAGTGAAACAGAGCAAAATATTGTTAATTAAATAATTAATTAATGATATTTTAAGGCGATATCTATTAGTACGTCACCGATATGTGTAGTTACATAATCTATTTTTCTCTTATATAAAGGATATTAGAAGAGCATTGCTCTTATTCAAACCAATAACTTTTCCCGCAAATAGTTAAATGCGTTTCCGCTGCGGTTTATAATCTTTTTTGTTTACGGGAGGATGCTTCACAAAGCGTCCCCCACGTCTCAGTGGAGCGCTCTCAAGCAACCGAGACCACCTCGCCCTTTACTTCCGCCAGGAATGTTTAATTAACACACTTCGACCCGCTTCTTCTCGGCTTTCATTACTGAAATTTTTCTGCCGGAAACACCGCGGTCCTTCCCACGAGGGACCATCCAACTTCCTTAATCGCGTGCCCAGTGGCGCGCTCTTTAAGCATTATCAGTATGCACAGAGTGCAAAGTTTCGCGGAAGCCGCGGTTGGGAAATATAAGAACAAAAAAGAAAAAAAACGCAAAGACGAGTCCGCCATATTTCTCGCGGAAATATTTTCAGCCGCCGATAATAATGTTAAGCTGCCGTAACTTGGCACTCACTTCCACGTGGATTCCGCGCGTGTTAAGAACTTAAAGATCGATCTGCGTACGCTACGAAGGATAGCTCGTATAATCGAACATGTTCACTTTTACAATAAGCGAGTGGAATGCATACAGAATATACACGGGATGATTAGCAGCGATAAAATATTGCGAAGGATCGAAGCGGCCTCAGTAATTGATCTAGCTCTTCAGCGGTTCTCAGCGAGTAACTTGGTTGGAAGTTTTATCTTTGCCAACTACGTGCGGAAGGAGATTAATCGCCGCGCAAACTCACGAGAACTGCATCTGCTATGTTAATCACGGAACTTGCTCGGCGCGAAGAAGAACCGCAACCTCGCGTCGTGGACATTACGATCGCAAGGGGGAAACTCTCGATCTTCTATCATCCAACTGACACAAATCAATTACGCACCAAAAGTTCTATGTAATTTCTCTCCCGACATAGTTACAGATAACGTTAGAAACTTATGTTTGTCAAAAATAGACTATTTTGCTATTTTCACTGATATAAATCTAGGTATAAATTGGATATGGATCATAAATAATGTATGATATATACATTACACTGAAAGAGCAATTTTGCTGAAAAATCTAAAAATTTGGCTATAAGATACAAAACTGAAAACAATTTTGTTAGACCATCAAAATAATTTTGTTTTGATATTCTATAAGCAACTAATTTTGTCGTCCTATCTTTAACATTATTATTTTTCAGATCCGAATCTAGCTAAATTTTTACATTTTTCAGCAAAATTGCTCTTTCAAAAAAATTTATATATATATATTATATATACACACACACACACTGAAAAAGACTTTTTTCTTTTTCATTACATTTGCGACTTCTTATAAAAATGTTATATTAACAGTATTATGTGACTTTAATCTATATTATTTTTGGCATTTCGTTTACGCGTGTTTAGAATGTTACAAGAGAAAGTTCAAGAGAAAGATCTACTGAAGCGAGCGCAAAATGCCGATATCGGACGCGTCCAGCTTAAAGCGGGGGAAACGCGGAACTCGTAGAAGACATCTTATCGCAAGGGGCGACCTTTCCATTCGATAATTTCCTCCCACGGGAAATACGTGGGGGCGGCTGCTGCTGCTGCTGCTATACTGGAATGCTCAACTTCGACGTCCCTCGTGACGTCATGCCGGGCTTATCCACTATTATCACTCGTAACCGGTATGCACGTTCGACGGCAGAAGACGATGAGAGCAAGAGGCGAGAGGAAGAGAACACTCGGAAGTTGGCAGGGGGTTGCAAGAGTCGGCTTGTCGTTCTTGGACAAGACGCTCTCCCGGAGTGCGTAGGGGTTGAGCACCCATTTGATGCCCTACATAGAGGAGTCTCGGAGGCCGGAGGAGTTGGTCGGGGGTGGTCTGGGCAGGGACGAGGAAAGTGGCGTGAGGATGGTTGGGCGACGTAGGAGGCGAGTTCCGTGGAAGGAGGTAGACGAGGATCGAGGACGGAGGTGGCGTAAGAGGGAACGGGAGAGAGGCGGTGTAGGACGTTGGAGCTCTTTGGGGCTCTGAAAATGCAGCGTAATTTGTCTTTGTCTGGCGGGGGCGAGCGCGTAGTAACGGCGAGAAGGGCGGCTTGAGGCGGCATGGGGAAGAGGGGCTAGGAAGGGTAGATGAGGGCGAGGGAGAAGGCGGTGGGCCGCGGTTCTCGGTGGCGAGAAGAGTGCAAAGGGGGGTTCTGGTAGCGG